TAACTGACGATGATGATGGGCGTTTCGAGGATAAGTACCCCGCCTTAAAATCAACTAGGACTGTGGTGGGCAAGTAGAGGGCGTGAGTTACTAGTTGGTCAACTTAGGGGCTAATAGGAGATTGTTTGGGCCTGGCGTCCGAAGTTCCCGTGCGACGAGTCTCATTCGATTCCGCTTCCACGAGGGCCCGGTCATGGCTAGCCCTGGTGTCTGTCACTGCTGTTCGGTCCAAGTTCCCCTCGATAGGGGCAATGGTCCTGAGTGCTGGTCACACTGAGGTAGGATAGTAGAGATAGGGGGTGCGCTAGGAGTATTGACGTGAGGATGGGATGGGAACGTAGCCTTTTTCCTTCAGGACGACCATGGCTGACCGCTCCTGGCGATCAATGTGTGCCTAGTAACCGGCCTCTACAACACCCTGGGCTTAAAAAAAAAAAAAAAAAAAAAAAAAAAAAAAAAAAAAAAAAAAAAAAAAAAAAAAAAAAAAAAAAAAAAAAAAAAAAAAAAAGGCTCTGGTGCCAATCACAATGCAGTGGTTTCAAGACAATAAGACAACCACCAACCCTCTGGTGCCCCCCAAAGTAAGGTTGGTGATGAGCGAATGGAGGCCCTGACGGTGCGGAAGAACCACTGATCTTCAGTAACTAACAAAGTCAACCAGCACGGAAAGCAGGGGAAAGGTGGAACGAACAAGAGTTGTGTGCAGTTGGAGAGGAATAGGGAGGAAGGAAAGGTGGAACAGACAAGAGTGGTGTGCAGTTAGAGAGGAAAAGGGAGGAAGAGAGGGGAAAATGGGAGCATCAGTAGTTTTTTGGCGCCTCACACCGGGTGAAGAGGATTTCCCCTTTCAAACAATGCTGAAAGGCGACACCTAGCCCCTGTGGATGTAAGATCGGAACAGAGGGATTGATGGTGCGGGATGAGGGGGTAATGTTGTTTTTTTGTTGGGTAAAAGATAGTTTGGAGAGGGAGAAACTAGTCTCTCAGCAATAGGAATCTGGCACCTGGTACAGGGCGAAGAGGTTTATTCCCTATTCCCAACAACCTGCACAGTCAATCCTCTGGAGACAGAGTAATGAATGCTGGTAGGCGTCCTTCTCAGTCATTCTTCCTGACATTCTCCTGATTCATCTTGATTCATCCTGATTCTTTCAGTGTAAGGAATGCTGGACCCGTTTTCCAGCAGGTGACGCTCCCCACCAATAGATGGAGCCTCTCCCCAGGTGCTAGCGATGCCTGCTCTTACCAGCAGCACTAGCACCGCAGGGGGTGTGTTAATAATAATAATAATAATAATAATAAAATAAATATGTGCTCCTGAAATATGACCTGATTTTTACTTCGCAAATCCTGATATTCGAACCCAAAATTTGAATTTACAAATGATAAATTTCTAGATGATTGCCTTGATATCAATTTTAATTTTGAATTCGAGTCTTAATCTCTGTTTAGTTTCCTTTCCAGCTTAAGGTGGGAATTACCCAATTCGTACGGTAGAATCAATTTCGATCTTAAATTTGGTTCTTAGTAATTGAGCCTCAGTTCGTGATGTTGTGGGTTTGGGGTTATAGGTGTCAAATGGAATATTTCCTTAAATTAGGGTTGGAGCCCCTCCCTGCGAAGGTTACACAAGGTGGGTGGTGTGCTCTTTGAGAGGGTAGGGGCGGTACTGGGGGTTTGTCCTCTTCTGGGCCACGCTGATCCTTGGGTCGGATCAGCTATGGCGGTGGGGGAGAGAGGACAAGGGGTGCTGATGTCAGCAAGGTGAGAGTCGAGAGGGCTGTTCTGCTTGGAGGGGGTGTGGGGCAGGAGTGAAAGGGGATTTTCGGCTCTGCGGGGGCATACTTTAGGGGGTACTGTATGCGCCTGAGGGAGCAAGAGTGTATTTTGGGGGGCTGTTCTGAACTGGGGCGGGGAGGTGAGGGGGCACTTTTCCACGGAGGCAGTAAATAGACAGGGGGTTGTCCTTTTGAGGAGAGGAATAATCCCTTTGGTGCTTATGACCCCTCTATATGTAACTGAGACTTCAATAGGTGTTGAGTTTCCACGGGGAGAGAGGGTAGTTTTTTTTCCCCCTCCTTCCCTCTTCCTGTGGAAATAGTGGGCGTTGAATGTTCATCTGAGTTGTCTGAATTTTTTTCCTAATTGGAAATTCTTCAATGGTTTGGTGCTAGGAGCAGGGGTTTGTGGTGGTTGTGATGGTGGGAGACGACGCACCCTGCGGCGAAGGGGATAGCCTGTAGGGTTGAAATAGGGTACAACGGCGGTGGAGAGGGTGGCTTCATCGCTGTAAGACTTGCCGGAGTAGGGCTGAGAGGGATTTTTGTGGGATATCTGCAACCACTGTCTCATCCGATTTTTGGGGTTGTTTTTTTGTGTAGATTGCACAATTGTCATCCTTAGCCTAAGCCGGGTAATGGCCCTGGTATTTCAAAGTTTTTTCCATAAATTTCTTAAAAAAGAATAAAATTTTTATAAGGCTTGGTGCTAGTGCCAGAGGGTTATGGAATTTATGGTGGTTGTGATGGTGGGAGAGGACGCGCCCTGCAGCGACGTGGCTAGCAGCTGTGGAGATTGTGGCTCCATGCGGTAAGACTTGTCGGAGTAGCCGGGAGTAGGGCTGAGAAGGTTTTTTTGTGGGATATCTGCAACTCGTGCCTGGAGGATGGATGATCGGAGCGACAGCTATGGCGCCGATTGGTGGCTTGACTGGTATCTGTCGTAGTCCTGACTCCCGGGGGTTTGCGAATAGACGAGGCCAGAACGACTCTGGTCGGTGTTGGGGCTTGGTCGCGCTGCCCTGTAACCCGAGCTGTACGAGGGCATGAGACCTGGTAGAGAGATCTGGGGAGTTGTAGAGGGTGGAAGGCACTCTAGTGTCTGTTGGTGAGCTGGTGCCTAGTCGACGCTGGCCGGAGCCGGGGCGGGGCGCTTTGCCCTGTGGCCTAGCAGGTGGGATTTTGCTGGGGTGGGTCGCGCCACTCTGTACCCTAGCAGCTGGGGACGTGAGGTTTAGAGATTGGGCATCAGGGTATAGGGGTGAGGCAGGTAGGGTTAGGGCCGCTGAAAGGCACCAAAGCAGGTGGGTTATTCGGTCTGCATTCTCCTGTGAGCCAAGGCTCGAAAAACAAAAAGGCCTTTTGAATTTAGTATTTACATAGATGTCTGTTTTTTTTTCTATAAGCCCCTTTGAGGCTGTTTCATTAGTACTTGGAGCAAGTTGTTCTCAGAGTTTTCTCAGCCAAAGCTGGGGGTAACGGCCCCGGTGCTTTAATACTTGTGTATCCTTATATGGGATGCTGGGCCCGGTTCCCAGCACTTGCTGCTCCCCACAAATAAATTGGAGCATTTTGTTCCCCCCCCTCAAAAAAAAGCCTTTGTGATCTGGTAGCGCCCCCCCTCCACCAGCCTCCGAAGAATGCCCTTTACCTTATATTCACCACTTAGCCTCCCAGCTAGAAAAGTAGTGGTGGTCCCTGGTGGACAAACATGCAGATTACAGCTGTGCTAGGTAGGGGGAAGTGCATAGGCCAGGGCTCTCATAGGTTAGACCTTGGCCAGATTGCCATGAGACGCGGCCTGTGGTAACTCAAGTAGGGGTAATCTAGGCACAGAACCTGGATGGGGGGCACAGGACATGCTCCTGGGCCCTCATCAGGCGTAGCGTCCAAAGTGCCCATCCGACAAGGCTCATTCAATGATGCTTCAACTAGTGCTGGGTCTGCCTAATCCCCATGTTGGATGGTAGGGCCTCAGCGAAGTGCTCGCACCCATGCTAGGGGATTAGGCATACCCAGCCCCTAAATACAATGTACGGTCATTATAGCTGGGTGCGAGCATGCTAGGGGACTGCTTCTTGAAGGTCGTTGCATCTTTTCACCTACCTGCTTGAAGTTCCCCCGAATACAACGAACGGTCATTATAGCTGTACTTACGGCCTCACCACACCACTCTCAAAAGGTGACAAAGCTAAAAACGTGGCCTAGTGTGAGGTTCATTCTCATGTTGCACATTTCGAGAGTGGTGTGGCGATGCCCTTAGACTGAAAGCACAGGCCAAGAATTGTGAAGCGAATGCCAGCGCTCCAGACCGATACGACACGCCCACAAAAGACAGAAAGTGCTAAACCACGAGAACCGGGGGAAAAAAAACACGGGAAACGGGAAAACAACGACCTTGGAAAAATAAAATAGACTGTTCGGAGTTCTGCGAGACTGCCCTTCACAACCTGTTAACTGTCGTGCATTCTTGCTGGGCCCGCAGCAGCGCGTTATGCAAGGGCCGACTTTGCTTCTAAAAGGAGTACATAGGGGCTCGCTGCATAGCCTTTCGAAACGAGGCATTTTCCAAAATTTGTCAGACGGAATTCGAAAGAAAACCCCTTTCCACAGGTCTTCTACCTGTAAGCTAAGCTGGCTGAGGCTGTCAGTACTCCGGGTCGAATGGTGAGGTCCACGGCCTCTATTTTATATTGTAATGAAGTGTGGTTTGAACTTTGAAGTTAAACATGGAAAGATACACTACCATGACTTTTGTGTTTTATGCACGTCGAGAGTAGTGGAGCCAGGCCCTGGTAATCCCCCCTTTTTTTTCCTTTTTTTTTTCCCGCTAATCCGCAATCTCGAGAGGACCTTTCCAAAAGACCACTCACGGTCTTTCGAAGAAACACTGATGACAGCCGGGAGGATCTTGCCCTTTCGAAAGTACTTTCAATGCCCACATCTCTGACACCTTTCGAAAGTTTTTTTGGACTTGTTTCGAAAGCCTGTGTGGCGAAGACGCGGCATCCATTTTGCATGATTCGAAAGGCTGCGTGGCGAGCCCCATAGAAGGAAACAAGGATTTATTAAATTTAAATAATTTTATAACAAAATTTAACTCACATGGGGCACCTGACAACTCTACCCCCCCAGAAAAAGAAAAAGAAAAAAACACAGTGGGGTCCTGCTGGCACGTCCATTATGACAGCCTGAAACTACGGAACCTTGTAAGCGGGACCTGGCTACCTGGAATAACGAAGAAGGAGAAGAAGAAGAAGAAGAAGAAGAAGAAGGAGGAGGAGGAGGAGGAGGAGGGGAACGGAGAACGGAGAAGAAGGGGAAGGGAGATGAAGGAGGAGGACGAGAAGAAGAAGAAGAAGAAGAAGAAGAAGAAGAAGAAGAAGAAGACGGCGACGACGAAGAAAAAGACGACGGCGACGAAGAAGAAGAAGAAGACGGCGACGACGAAGAAGACGGCGACGACGACGACGACGGCAGCGGCGAAGAAGAAGAAGACGGCGACGATGAAGAAGACGACGACGACAACGGCGGCGACGAAGAAGAAGAAGAAGAAGAAGAAGAAGAAGAAGAAGAAGAAGAAGAAGAAGAAGAAGAAGAAGAAGAAGAAGAAGAAGAAACGACGACGACGACGACGACGAAAGAAGAAGAAGAAAGAAGAAGAAGAAGAAGAAGAAGAAAGAGGAAGAAGAAGAAGAAGAGGGAAGAAGAAGAAGAAGAAGAAGAAGAAGAAGAAGAAGAAGAAGAAGAAGAAGAAGAAGACGAAGACGAAGACGAAGACGAAGACGAAGACGGCGAAGAAGAAGAAGAAGAAGAAGAAGAAGAAGAAGAAGAAGAAGAAGAAAAAAAAAAAAGAAGAAAAAGAAGAAGAAGAAAAAGAAGCTATTCACTTCGACCAGGGGCAAAGTCGAACGAGCAGCATTGGGTTTCCTCAACACCTGAATCTGGACGAGTTTGAGGAGATGTGCAGAAAAACGCATTGACATCTCCAAAAACAAGTCCAGATTCAGGTGTTGGGAAACTCAACGCTGCTAGGGGGACTTGGCCTCAGAGATCCAGAGTGTAGCATGGCGGGCAACATGTGCTTCGGAAAGGAAGCATGATATCATACTCACGCTGGCTATATCTTATACGTATCTGACTGGCCACATTTACGTCCACAAATAAGAAAGAGTATCCTAGTGTGAGGATGCCTTCACTCTTTCGTATTCCTCCAGGCAAGGGAAAGTATCACAAACCACGTTACCAGAGTCTCCCGGCCCAGGACGACTCGGGCGAGTACAAAAGAGTGAAGGCAAGGGAAAGCATCACAGTTTATGTGCACTGTAAGAGGATACTTACTCTAGGAATTTGCCGCCTGACGTATCTGATCGGAATTCTACCACGACCTGAATATGGGCCTTAGACATTCCTCGGGCCGTCCTCCGGGCCCGAGGAATTTTCTTTTTGTCGCCCAAGGAAATTCCCATCGTCGTCCCACTCATCCTCGGAAGAGTCCCCCGAGGACGATTCCTTGGGGGCCCCACAGCCAGTTTCATATATCGACAAGCGAACGCTTGGGGGGGGGGGGGGGGGGGGGGGGGGGGTGTATCCGTGCCAACATCGTTGGTCCAGTTAGCGAGCTGTATCCGTGCCAACATCGTTGGTCCAGTTCGGGTGGGCGTCGCAAAATCGAAACTCGGCGGCCTTCAAAAAAACGAGGGCATTGGACAAGGCGACCAGTCCCAGATTCGAATTTTGAAATTCGAATCTGGGCATGGGCGTCTCTCGCAACTGGCGGCAACAACGTTCCTCGGCGAAAGCGTTTAGGTACGGGGTGGCGGCTGCGTGTTGGCGGGCATGACGAACGTTAATGTAGACATCCGAAGCAGCAGACACGCCGTCACACAATCACCATCGTTGTCGTCTTCGCAGGCGCACCTTCGTCATCAACGTCTACGCCGTGTACTCCGGTTGCCACTTGCGCCATCGTTGCACTGTGCCCCGGCGCTAGCGGAGTGTTGTGTAGTTTGCGGCGTCCATGTCGACAGTGCTGCCATTTGCGACGCTGTGCTGAAGGTGTGCTACACCATGGGCAGAGCGACGCCCAAGTGGTGGATGAAGCAACGGACAAGGGGGACAAGGGGGATCTGCGGCAATGTGACGACGCGACGACCGACTACCTCAGGGAGAAGCTGCGCATGTCACCACATGTATTCCGAGAGATCGCATAAGCTCTGTCTCCATTCCTACAGCGACGTGTCACTTTCTATAGGGAGCCGTTACAGCCTGACCACATTGTCGTGTACGCTTTGTACAGGTGGGCGTAAGGGGAGACGTACGAGAGTGGGACATGCAGCTTCGGCATTGGCAGATCATCTGGGTTGGTGGTTGTGCGGGACGTGACTACGGCATTGCTGAGTGCGTACCCCGACAAGATATCGTGGCCGACGGGGTTGCAGAAGGCGGTCGTCTTGCTCGCTTTCGCTGACAAGGGTTTCCAGAACTGCGATGGGTGCATCAACTGCACCCACATCTACATCAACAAGCTCGCGAACACCCCCGGGGAGGACTACTACGATAGAAAACGTCGTTTCTCCGTCCAGGCGCAAGTGGTCGTCGATCTGAACTTGCGTGTGCTCGACGTGTTCGTTGGTTATCCGGGAAGTTGCCACGACGTCAGGATCATCCACCTGTCCAGTTTATGGGCGCGCGCGGAAGCAAGGGAGCTTTTCACTGAGCCACCTATCATGCTGCCTTTCCAAGTGTAGACGAACGGGTATTTGCTGGGCGACAACGGTTATCCCCCCTTCGAATGGGAAGTCATCTTGTATGGAGGTCTCGCAGCGCACCCGCCGGAGTTGCGCTTTGACAAGAAACAGAAGACGGTGAGGGGGGCAGTCAAGAGGGCTTTCAACAGACTGAAGGGGATGTGGAGGATGTTCTTTCGCTCCCATAAGACGGATATGGACACGTTGCTGCAGCAGTTCGTAGCCGTGTCCATTCTGCACAACATGTTGATCGACGCGGGCATCCCATTCAACGACAATCTACTGTGGGAGGTCGGCCCTTACGGTGTGCGTCGTCAGGTGGATCTTGGGATACACCGGCCCTTGAGGAGTCATCGACGGGGGATGGGCTAATTCTGCAGGACGAATTGCGGAGTGAATGAGTATGCAGTGAAGACGGCCAGGCGTGCGGAGTGAGCGACTGCGATGACATGCTAGTGGCGAGAAAGTGGCACAGACGACGAGGGAAGTCGGCGAAGAGGTCGTATACCGTACATGAAGGGGTGTTCCCAGTTCCCCCTTCAACCGACGGCAGCGTGTCGTCATGAAATGGCTGCCCTCCGATCTGTCGCCGTTAGGTTGTGGTCCGTCCGCTGCAAAAGGCCACGTGTCTTTGAAGGGGTCAACATCCGCATTGGCGTCATTTTGTGTATCGGCTTGTTTTGTGGATCGAGGGAGTTAATGGCGTAGGGGCTGTTTCGCTGTGGGGTGGCGTGCACGAGGCGGCGGGTGTGGGCAGTTTAACTACCTTTGGTGTTGTTTTGTTATGCGCGGCCATGAGGAGAGTGTTGCCGGCATGAGTGGATGGCGATAGTGCAGTCCGACGTGTCCTCGGCGAGGGACACGTCACGAGCATGTGCGTGGGGATTGTATTCTAGTTGTCGTACGCTGTCACCGCGGGTGAGGTGTCAGGGTCATGGAGTCCATTTCGGAGGTGTGTGTTCTGTTTTTTGGAACTCGGGATTTAGCAAGCCATGATGGCCTTTTTTTCTCAAACTGTGTTGTCTTCTTTTTTTCCAGTGAGGGACAACAAATTCACAACATCTCGTGTTATTCGTTTCTATTGTGCGTCTTCTCTTATTATTTTACGCCGATTGAAAAAAAAAAAATTGCACGACGTTGTGTACCTCATTTGTAGTGCCGTATGTCCATCTTATATTTGCAATGTGTTCATTGTTTGTTTCATGTTCCCGAACCCTGCTATGAACATCCCTGACGTTGTTATCATGCCATCGCTTCAAGAAAGCAGCCCTTGCCACATTCACAAACCTGCTACAACATTTCGCATGTACAATGAAACGAAAAAGAACAAGCAGCGCAAAGTTGTACGCATCATTAACATCATTGAACAATTCGCTTTAACAGCTGCGAACATCGATCATCCATGCCTCCATAAAAAAAAAAGGTTAGGACACACCCCTACGACAAGCGGACCTCGCTAACAATAACCCGCATCACGAGATCGTGCCCTCCCATGACCCCTCCCCTCAAACCCCGCTTCCCCATTGTCCCGTCCCCCACCCCTTACACGCCCCCCCGCCCTTCTCTTCACCTCAACCACCCCGTGGCGAGAACCTCCCTTGCGGCCACTTCCACGATCATCCCGCCTTTGGTGAGTCCACGATGCCGACTACAAACGCGGAGTGCTGGCTCCGGACACTACAGCGCCACGAAACACACACGACATCATAGCCGAATAAAATCGAAAGCCCCCATGCCGCACAAAACCCATTCACCTCGAAACAATTGGGCGTCACTCAGAGTGAGCGGTCGTCGTTGTCTGTCGTCTTCAACCGACCGGCGGCAGAGCAGCAGCGAACGGGGAAAAAAAAACAAGTACCCAGCGAAGACACACATGGATGACGCACCCTCACACTTCGGCCTTGCTTGGGGATACACGACGACCACCCTATCCCACCCTGCGATGACCGCCTCCACTACTCGCCCGTCATATGAGAATCCACAAATTTTGCGACGACTACGTCAAAGACGGGCACCATGGGCACTTCATCAAGCCCCCCTGTCGGCTTCTTCATTGGCTTTGTCCTCTTCTTCCTCATCCGGGGGGCCTGTGCTCAGCCAGTCGAGCTTCTTGGCGTCCATGGGGGAAGGCAAGGTGGCGTCATCATCGCCGTCATGTGAGAACATGATGCCGCAAGACGCCCAATCGGGGATTGTACAAAGGGCGTCGACCAAAGTCATCGAGGGTTTGACCAACTTGTCCACCACTACGGTTGAGGCTTGGAGGATATGGCGACGCACGTCGAATGACCGATGCATGGATGCGGCTAGCATTGGCTTCATTGTCAGTTGGATGAAAAACCATGCGTCGTAATGCGCGCGCAGATCGTCCCCGCTCATCCGCATGAGCCATATGGTCGCCGCGAGCATAATCCTCATCACGTCGACAATGTTCTTCCACCTGTCGTACTGCACCCGCCCGCCGTCGATCCACATTCATGGAAGCCACAATGGAGGTGATGAAGGCGGAAAGCTATGATGACGAGGATGGCAGCGATGGCAAGATCATGTTGTCGACTCGACAACAATCACTTGCACGTTTCGCGGCGGTATGAGGGCGGTCAACTGCACACGCAAGGTGGCGACCCAACTGGAAGGTGAGGATCGTCGACGGTGGTGGAGTGCAGCGCGCGACTAAATTCGTTTCACGGACAAGGCGATGCGCGGGCAGAAGGCAGGAGCAGACGAACGCGAAGGCGAGACGGCGAGAAGGCTGGCGTGTGGAGTTTGAAGCGGGCGTGTGGAGTCCCGTCGTGCATTTGGCGAGGGCGCCCTGATGCTCTCGGCGGTGTGCATCTGTCGGCCCGCTACCTTTCTTGTCTCCGCCCTTGGTGAATGCTGGAGAGGGAAGGACCCCGCGCGACAGCAGGACAGGACGGCAACTGCCAAGCCACGCCACACGAATGGACACCCCCGCCCACACTCACCCAATCCCGCTATCCCCAAACCACCCACCACCTCCCGCCCTCAAAAACTTTCCCCCACCGGAGAGCCATAGCATGCACATGGAAGCGGGGGGTTCAGGAACCCCCACCATGGACCTCCGACAACCGCCACCCCACCCGGGAAGCAAGACCGGCATGAAATAATAAAAAAATAAAAGAACAGATTTCCAAATCTCCATTTATAATGAAACGACATCCACCCCTCAATGACGATTAACAATGAACACAACCAACACATCTGCATCGACGACTGTGTGAGTGTATTGACCATTTCGTAAATCTGCAAATATCGTTTGCGAAAACAACAAAAGCATTCCATACAA